GGTGGGTCCATGGTTACAAAGCGCTCCTTGGCTAATCAAAAGGACGTACGGTTGGGACCCACCAGAAGTTCCCAGGCAGAAAGACGTGGCAGTCAGATTCTGTAAAGATCAGAGGCTTGGAAACGCTGTGTTTCAGTTCAATCTCCTAGATAGGGTCGCCATGCTTCCAATCGGACTTGATGGCAGCGATGTTTGTGGTTGTTAGTCTTGCAGTGTAGTGCAGGGGAAGAGTCAGCAGATTCTAAGTAAAAGAACGAGCGTTTAGGGAGCACTTAGCCGCCTTACTCAAGAACAATCACAGGGCGCGTTGGTGAAACACTTGCTGTGTGACTCCTCGCCCCAAGCCTCGATTCACCACCCTTTTCCAGATGAAGCAACAGACCAGGACTTGGTAAGAAGATCCCAGATCCTAAGAAGATCAAGGAAGATGGCGAAACAAGGTGTTGGAGCACAAAGAGAGAAAGGCTGGGGCTCCTTCAGAGGGTGGCACTAGGGAAGACCTACCTCACTGAGCAGATAGTATCTGACAAAAAGGAAGCAATCATGGGTGGAAGGGGCGGGGGAGACTGAACACGGCAAGAAGCAGCAAGTGCAAATGGGTCCTGAGGTGGACACAAGGGTGACCAATCCCTGGAGCGTCAAGGAGGGTGTTGGGAATGGAGCGAGTGGGAGGGAATTCAGTCAGGAAAGTGGTGGACTTGATAAGGGATGGAGGACCTTGTGACCTTGGGAGAAAAATACACACACACACACACACACACACGCGCGCGCGCGCAAACAAATACTGCCATCAAATTGGTTCTGACTCATAGCAACCCTCTAGGGCAGGGTAGAACAATACTGGTGGATTTCCAAGATTGTAGATCTTTGCAGAAACAAAGACTCCTCTTTCTCCATTGGAGTGAGCAGCTGGTAAGTTCGAACCACAGCTCCTGAGACTACCTGCCTAATGCGGAGCCCACTAAGCCCCCAAAGCTGTTTTCAATTTCTCATGGAATCCTCCATGTGCCCCAATGAGGCCACGCATGTAAATCACACGGGGTCGAGGCCAAAGCCCCATGGCCTTCAAATCCATCCCAGGTCATAGCGCCCCCGTGTGTTGCAGAGTAGAACTGCTCTGCAAGGTTCTCTGGGTTCTTCCAGTTTTTTGTTTTTTTGATGGAAGCAGATCCCCACTTCTGCAGTACTGCTGGTGAGTTTGAAACATCAACCGCTTGTAGCTATCAGGGGGTCTTACTGGCACATAGCCGCAAAACACAAAAAGCCCATGTTTTGTGCCCCCTGTGCCTCAAATAAAAGCAAACCCTACTGGCCTACCAGTGGATGCCTACTAGGTGCAGGGCACCTAGATCTAATGAGTGCGAAGTGGTGACCCAAAGAGCCACCGGTCATGTCATCCTAGGATCGCTGCAGATTACTGATAGAAACGAGGCAGGAAACCAGATTTTCAGCCTCCCGGATGGGCCCCCCTTCCCTTACCCACCCTCCCCACAAACTCAGATTCAAGGGGGGCTGGAGTGGGGGAGTCAGGCTCCTGCATACTGAACTGTGAAGCAGTCCTCAGTGCTCTCGGGGCTGTCACCAGAGTTCCCCCAGAGGATTGTGGGAGCCCAAGAGATGGGGGGGGGTGTCTCAATATGACTGGGGAGTGGGGGGCGGAGCCAGGATAGGGCTGAGGGACAGCAGGCGTGAGGTGGAGCTGGTGGCTTGTGGGAGGCGGGGAGGACACACGAAAATGAATTCATCTCCGGGGCTGGCCTTCAGGGGCTCCCAGCCTGGGCATGAGGACCAGCCACTGGTGTGGGCAGAGTAGCCTGGCCTACTGGCTTGGCTTTTCCTCCGCTTGCAAAAAGGGTCGTTCCAGCAAGCCCTCTCAGGAAAGAACATGGGTTCCATGAATCCACACTTGTAAAGTACTCCACGCGGAGGTTTGTGAGAACAGCTAATGGAGCCAGTTTTATAACAAGTGCTCTCAGACACAGATGTCAAGGACTTCAAACACGGGCGTGG